ATAAAAATCGGGCCTATTTCTTAAAAATAGGTTGTTTTTTTGTTTTTGTTATTCTTGGGGCTTCTGTGTGGCATGGTGAGTGGAGTCCCTGTAGCTCCTGGAAGCTATGCCCAGCAGTGGCCCTTACAAGCTCAAACCCTTTGTGCTGCTGCTGTTGCTGGACTTACCTCGCTTATTTTCGTTTCGAAATTATTCTACCTCGTACCTCGTCAGGTGAGCTCGCCTTAATTTGCCCAGATATATTATGTAAATATGTTATATGCAAATATTGTAAATATATCTAATATACATATATAATATATGAACCCGCAAAAGGCAAACGCACCAGCAACATCCGATCATGTCATTCGGATGAACCGACACGCACAAAGATACACTCCAGACCTTCCCTCCGTCTTTATCACATCCTAAAACCATTCCAAAACATTATCCCCCCGCTCACGAAGATGGAATGTGACCGGTCTTCAAAGACCTGTGGTATGGTGATTCACTCTAAGCTGGATATAGCTGGATGCTGCCACTTAGGCCGCGGTGAATTCGACATCTCTCACCTATTCCCTCTCAATCCCCCCGGCCTCGCGGCACCGATGCCGACTCGCGCTGGCGATGCCGATGTCTCCTCTTCGGCCTGGGCGCCGTCCCGTCTTTTGACGGACACGCCAACGGTCATGTCCATCGCGATGGGTTCGGACTTAATTTAGGATTGTTTTTTTTTTCGCGGCAGGTGCAGTACTTTGTGGACCTTGATGTGCAGATTTCGTGGCAGTCGCAGTACTTCGCGGTCCTTGAAGGGCAAATTTGTGGCAGGCGCAGTACTTTGTGGACCTTGAAGTGCAGATTAGACGCAGTACTTTGTGGACGTTGAAGTGCAAATTTTGTGGCAGGTACAGCACTTTGTGAACTCGGAAGTGCAAATAGAGAGAAAGAGAGAGAGAGAGAGAGATCGATAGACACATAGATAGATAGCTAGCTAGCTAGATAGATAGGTGGATAGGTGGATAGATGGATAGATGGATACATGGATACATGGATAGATGGATAGATGGATACATGGATAGATGGATAGATGGATAGATAGATAGATAGGATAGATAGGATAGATAGGATAGATAGGAAAGATAGGATAGATAGGATAGAGTAGATAGATTAGATGGATCAGAAAGATTCGATAGATTGGATGGATTCGATAGATTCGATAAATAGATAGATAGATAGATAGATCCACAGATAGATAGATAGATAGATAGACCCACAGATAGATAGACAGATAGATGGATAGGTAAACAAATACATAGACAAATGGATAGAACGACAGTGCGGAAAAAAACTATGTTGAAAGCTGGGTGAGGTTGAAGTGGCCCTCAACATCCACCATTGTGGGGTCATTGTTCACATTAACACCACAGCTAAAGCCTTGAAAAGGTTAGCTTTGTCACAGCTAAGCAAAGGTTAGGCTTGTCATCCACCTTTGTGGCGTTGTCAACGCAAAGAAGATAGTGGGTTTGGTACTTTGTTGTCCCGTAGCAATCGTGTAAATTAAGAAAGCGGGAGGGGGCGCGGGGGAGGGCGCAACGCCTCCCCCGCAATGAAAACAAAGTATATATATATAGTCAATAACCCGGCAATGAACGCAAACCGCCCCGCCTGAATTAAAAGGTCTGCACCGTTGGACTGGCACTTTCCTCAAATTCTACCCCCGGCTTACAAGCGGTTTGCACCTTCCTCCTCTAAATTTGACCCTCAAAAGCCACAAGCCACACGCCTCAGAAGTCTGCCTTCCTTCGTTCTTTCCTTCCTTCCCTCCTTCTTTCCTTCGCATAGGCTAGAAAGCCACGAAAGCCAAACGCCACAGAATCCAGAAGCCACGAAAGCCGCGAAAGCCAAAAAGCCACAGAAACCACGAAAGTCAAAAGCCACAAAATTCAGAAGCCGGAAAGCAACGAAAGCCAAAAGCCAGACAGAATCCAGAAGCCACGAAAGCCAAGAGCCACAGAAGCCACGAAAGCCACGAAAGCCCAAAGCCACAGAAGCCACGAAAGCCAAAAGCCACGAAAGCCACGAAAACCAAAAGCCACAGAAGCCAGAAGCCACGAAACCCAAACACCACAGAAGCTAGAAGCCACGAAAAACAAAAAGCATCATTAAATGGCCCTCCCATCACCATGATGGTGATGAAGCTCTTGCAGCTGCTTTCAAATCCAGTATGTGTGTGAGAAGCAAACCACCCAAAAGCAAATCTTGCTATTGGGTGGTTTGCTAAGTGATGACCTACTGTCATTCCTTGCAAGCAAGCAATCAACATATAGACACAAACACAAATCATAATGAGTCCATGCAAGGCGATCAGTCAGGGGCACTCCCTTCATTTAAAGCCTCACAAGCTGCAAAACGAAAGCCAGCGTTACCATCGGCCTCTGTAAAACTACGCCTTACCATTCAGATGATGCAAATGATGCAAATTGCATTTCTTACATCACCAGCCGCTCAAAAATCACAAAAAATCACCTCCAACACAACCTCCAAAACCTTGCTTCCGCGCATCCCTAAGCACCACCTAATTTCAAGTTTACGTTTTTGCTTTCTCGGGCCACCCCCCCAGACCCCCTACTTACTCACTTCGTTCGCCAAAAATAACTCAGCTGGCGCCTTCTACGAAGGCTGGCTTTCATAATCAGTTCTATCATATTCTATCACTCAAAGGGGGCTGTCTACCCGGCGGCACACGGATCATTTTGGAACACGTAAAACGGATCATTGTGAAACACAGACTCAGCAAAAAGGCTCCAAAACTGTAGTCTTATAGCATTTTTCGGATCATTTTGGAACACAGACTGATTGCAACTAGCCCAAGGCGGCATACTTCGGCTCTTTTTTCCACAAAAATCACCAATCTGGCAGCAGAGCAATCAGGCTTCTTCAGGGTCTCTCTTGACTTAGGAATTCACTTCTTTAGGGTTGCTTTTGTTTTTGCTTAGGGCTTTGCTTCGTTAAGGTCTCTTTGGGTTTGACTGAGGGCTTCACTTCTTTAGGGTGTCTTTTGGTTTGGCATAGGGGTTCGCTCCTTTAGGAGTTCTTTTGGTCCGGCTTAAAGCCTTGCTGCTTTAGGATGTCTTTGGGCTTGACTTATATAGGGCTTCACTTCTTTAGGGTTTCTTTTGGTGTTGCTTCGGGCTTCGCTTCTTTAGGGCTTCTTTTGGTGTTGCTTAGGGTTTTGCTTCTCTAGTGTCTCTTTGAGTTTGACTTAGGGCTTTACTTCTTTACGGTCTCTTTTGGTTTGGCTTCGGGCTTTGCAGCGTAAGGATGTTTTGGCTCTGACTTAGGGATTCACGGCTTTGGGTCTCTGTTGGTTTTGCTTAGGGCTTCGGTCCTTTAGGGTCTGTTTTGGTCTGGCTTCGGGCTTCGCTCCTTTAGGGTGTCTTTGGGTTTGACTTAGGGCTTCACGTCTTTAGGACCTGTTTTGGCTTTGCCTCCCCAAAAACCATTCGCCAGAAACTCGCCAGAAACCACTTCCCAGAAACCACTTCCCAGAAACCACTCGCCAGAAACCACTCGCCAGAAACCACTTCCCAGAAACCACTCCCCAGAAACCAATCGCCAGAAACCACTTATCCCAGAAACCACTTCCCAGAAACCACTCGCCAGAAACCAACCGGGAACCGCGTTCCAAAACGATCCAAATCAGCGTTCCGAAACGAGCTGGATTCGCGTTCCAAAATGAGGCGCTTGCCCTACCCGGCCTACCCCTGACACCCTTGATCTACCTTTGGGTGCTAATTTTCACCTCTAAAGAGCCTCTAACATCTAGTAGATAGATCCCATATATATATATATATATATAGATCCCCGCAACTGAATCAACAGGTCCAGCTGCCTGGTGGACCACCTGGGTGGGATCTTCCCGAGCCTCGGCTCAGTGAGCGAGATCGTGGAGCCTTTTCTAGGCCCAGTGAGTGGGTTTGTCTTAGGGTCTCATAAGCTTCATCAATCTTCCCGCACAAATATCAGAACATGAATGCTTTATAGAAAAGGGTTATCACGCTATATCACACTGGTTGCCAAAACTGCACATAACATCTAAACCATAGTTAAAGGAATGTATACGATTTACACCAGAAATGGTGAAGGTTCCCAATCCCAAATTCTTGTATTTGGCCGACTCCTGCTGATGTCTTAGTGGGAAAACGTTATCAATGTGGATCATCTTGGACGCCCTCCAGACTCGTCCATGACTATTCTGCTTGCACTTCCCCCTCCTTGGGCCCTTATTTCGCAAATCATGTCTGCTTTGCAAAACCCTTGGCCGGAACCAACAATGGCCGCAAGGCAAATTGTTCTAATTGTTTTGCTTGGATGGATAGGTTCTGGGGTCTATCCAAAGGTTCCCGGCTTTAGGCTATAACCAGGCTATCATGCTTATGATGCTCTGTATAATTACAGATCACTCACCATGGTAATGGTCTTGAATGAGGTCTTCTCGACCAAGCTGTCACATGCGGTCTGATGTCCCTCGACTCGCTCCTCGGCGTCGAACCATGCTGGAAATCAACGCCCCACCATGGGATGAGATGGTGATGCACACAGATTTTGTCAGACCAGGTTCGTTCCAGATGAGTCCTAAACATGGCACCCGAAACCTAACCGCTGACTGCTAAGTGTAGGAATCCTGATCAAACATGATCAAACAAGACCCTGAGGCAACATTGAAAACTTATATACCATCATCATTTGAGAAATTCCCCAAGGCCTGCAGGCCTTCTACCTTTCATTATCTTTCACTGCTAGGGGTCACCCTGAGGTCACCCTGTCGACCTGTCTCCAACACCGAGAGGCTTTGCAAGAAGATCCAACTCAACCATCATCGTCGCCACATCCGTGGTGATCGTCTGCGGTCACGTCGATCCGCAGTGGCGCCGGTGGCACCGGTCGATCCGGATGACCCAGGTGGCGGTCGACCAGTTGTGATCGCTGGTCGTCTGGCACCCTTGGAATCGGCTGAATGCTCAAACTCATCGAGTTTGCCAATATGATGCCCATAGGTCTATCGCGATTGCAACACCAAAGACATTTTGCAGGGTCTTTGACTTGGCCATGTGGTTCAATCTATAATAATATGTATATATATATTGTTATATTTATATAACCTGTTGGGTGTGTATGAAGTTCCAGCATTTCCCTAAGTGGATATAGCCATGAACGAATGTCACTGGGCCAGTGGACGTTGTAACTTTACATCGCTCTCGTTGAGAACTCTACAGTGACTTCGGGCACATCCCTAGTGAAGGCACATTCCATGTCCAGCAATAGATGGTTCCTACAGCTGAGCGTGATGCAAACTTCTGTGGCTTGGCTTTAGATTTCATTGACTCGCCCTCTCCAAGCACCAAATGCACCAGCCGGGGTTCAACATCTTGGCTAATCTCTGGAGTCCCTGGTATGCTTCATGAATAGCAGTCCCACTGAACAACTTGATAGTATCTGGTCTCAGGCCCACTGAACCGAAAGCAGTCAGAAGCAGTTGTTCAGCTGGCTTCAGTCAAGGCTAGTATCTTGGCAGCAGTTGAATTTCATGAACTTCTATCACCAAAAGATTGCCAGACTAAAAGTCTTTCAACACAAACGTATCACAAGAACTATCCCCTTCCAAGAACTAGCATATTTAGTATTAACTTTCAACACTTTGTGCCTTTGAAAAAACCTTTTCTTCGGACCGTGGACCGCCGCTTCGCCTTTTGGAGCAAGGCCGGCAGCGCGCCGGGCCTGGCGTGCGGAGGCGAGCGAGGTCGGTTCTCGGTGGTCTTTGGAGCCCCAAAAATACAAACAGGTGTAACAGAAGAGACTCAATACACGACTCAATCGTTAAACACATTAACAAAAATGCGATTTGGCTTCCCACCGACTGCATGAATGACTAAACAAATCTTCAGCTATGTTCCCATTGTTTTCCTGAAGGTTGGAATGCCGGAAGACTCTAAAGTCCTCTGCTCTATTTGTGAACGGGAGCGCCCAACAAGTTGCCTGTAAAGTCGTGTGCCGGAGGAAGCTTCCCCTGCCCAGCAGTTGTCCTCGCAAAGCACATTCACAGGAAGAGAACTCTGGGAGTGTAGGTTCAATTGGGCTGGCTGGCCACTACAGTGAAATGATAGCAGCAGCCAAATGCTTGCTTTTTCAGGGAAACAAATGATACCCAACAAGTCAGAAAATAGGAAACAACCGGAAGAACACATGAGAAACTATGATGTCAAGATTGCTATATTTGAGGCACTATTCTATCCTACATGTAGTACAAAGCTTGAAGAATGGACTGCTGGATTCAGCTCTAATTACAGTAGGTGAACTGACCTCAAAGAATCCTATCTATGACATTAAACGTGGATTTTCCCTGGCGACAAGGATCTGGAAGAGTATATAGATAGTGGACCCGAACTGGTGACCAAAAGATCACTGATTGTGAATGAGTCTTGGGGAATGGGTGGGATCTGCTGATTGTCAAATCATGCCAAATCTAAGCAATTTGGTGAGACCATCGTCAACCATCCAAGCTTTCCTTGACCAAGCACTCAACTACAGGATGGTGGTCTTGAATTCTCTCGCACTAAACCGGGAACTAGCACAACACCGTCACATATGAGACATGGTCATTGGTCTTGAGGATGGTGCTGTAGGTTGTTTTCATCACATGGTCTCTATCCAGCTCTGTTCCAATATTCTAAGGGATTGTCAAAGTCAGAATCAATAGTCCTTTCAAAGCACGTGGGAAGGTTAGTGATTCGCCACAAGTAACCAACGATAAAGGTTTGGCAAGTGTACCCATGTCCATGTCTTCTCATCCCATGTCCATGGCAAATGATCCGTCCATGGGATCTTTGTTCGTCTCCTGTTGCACCCCCCCGCGGTCACTTCTCGCCTCCGGATCGCCAGTCTCGAAGCTTGCACGGCCTCAGAGCAGTGTGGTTTTCCTTCTGACTCAAACGTCGCTCGGCATGACTCAAACATGGATGTGACGTGTGGGTCGAACCTCATTTGCTGTACCCACATCCACCTCCCAAAGCAAAAGACGATACAAAACGTATCTATGAGGTAGATCTTCGTCAAATTTAAATGCACTTCAATGAACCATATGTCCTTTTGCATGGAGTTTTGACCCTCCGACGGCCATCAATGTCAGGCATCATCTTCACAACCATTTCTTCCAGACCAGCTGTGTCCAATCCAGAGTCCGGCATCCCAATTCTATACGGATATGCTTATTCTACAATGGACTTCATCAACTCAATTACAACACCTTTTATATGGTTTTGTTATGTTTTGTTCAGAAGTCAACAGATGTTGCACCTGCTTCGAGCTTCTGTTTCGGGGCACCCAGCGATACTGCAGCTTGTAGAAACCTCATTGCAATTCAGGTGCCAAATGGACCTCTAGGGAGTTGTATTCGCTTGCAGTTGAACTGGATGGACAAGACATGACAAGACTCATCATACCAGGCTGTCGGCGATAGCGAAGTTGTCGGGCAGGCCATTGCCAAAGGCCATCCCGGCCTGGTGGCATCACACCACACCGCTGTGAAGGGCATGCCTTTAGTTTCTCCTGTACATGACCACGATTCCCACTAACTGTCTGGTTCGTTGACCCGAAAACTCGGGTTTCAACCCTAAACTCGAGAGGTTTGGCACCTCTACTCTCTTCCATCTCCAATCATCTCCCCGGCTCACCACTCTATTTCTCCATGGCACACCCCCATGAACGACGAGCACAGGATGCCTTGGATCGGCAGCCCAGCCGCCAGCAGCCAAGGGCGCGTCATGGCCTTCTGGAGTGCCTCGTCATCAACCGAAGGAGGAATCTTGGGCAAACACCAAAAAGGGCTTGTTGGGTGTTTGATGTGCTTGATAAACCCGTTTTAATTAAGCCCCTGTCAAACCCAAGGGTTTAGCCCTCTCGTCAATAAAGCCCACACTGAATCTAAATAAATTGCCAAAATGTGCCAAAGCTTTTCATGAACCCTGCCCGGCCTCAAAGCAGATCTTAGTCTCCCTGGCCTCAAATCCAACCAGCTGAGGCTCCAGCCAACATGGCCTTGGGTTCAAGGAGAGCTTCGTCCCAGGTGAAGGGGCTCACGAAGAAGATCTGCACAAAGGCCATACGAGCGCTGATTTCAAAAACACATAACATAACCATAATCTCTTGAAAGTTATCTAAGCAAATGTGTCCCCAACTGGCTCATCATGTTTTCCATTGCTCACTAGCCTCATCGTGACTGTAATGCGCTGCTTACTCAGAGTGACTGTAATACGCTGCTTAATTAAGCTGTTCTGTCATATCGTTCCAAGAGGTCGCAAAACATAGACTAGGAAGGAACGAAGGTCCCCCATATGCACTGTACGGCGAACAAACTAGTTACTAGACTAAGGAGGTCGAGCTACCAAGCTTTAAACACTTAGGGATCTAGGGATGGACCCACAGCAAAATATTGCACATCATGTACAAAATAATGTAATATTATGTTGTATAACATATACATGACGTGACTTATATCTATATATATATATACATTAAAGATATGGTCTCTCTCGATCGTGCCCCCCAAAAAGCCCTTGATCCCGGGCCCAAAGGTCAGGCAGCCGTTGCGCGGAGCGGCGGAGGGCTTCGGCCTGGGGGTCGTGACGAGGGTCGTTCGGCGAGGATCGGAACGGGGCCGTCAGAACTGGATGGTATATCATCAACTAAGCTGGCTGGTCCAGGCTGAACATGGACAGTTGCAGGCTTAATAAGGCTGAAGTCACTTCCTGTGATTTTAAGATAGCAAAGCGCAATCAACTGGCCGAGGTGACTTGGAAAGGCCACAAGTATGTTGCGCTTATAGTATCTCCTTTTGTGCTCAAAGAAGTGCGGATCCAAGAGGGAACGTGGCAACTGTCAAGCGGCACAGCGGTCTACGGGCTCGTGAATGATCTTGGCGGCATACCTGAGCCATCTCTTGCTGATGACGGCTTCATTAGTCTCTACCTCTCCCTAGTGAGGACTTCAGGAGTCAATAGCAGCTACATGACAACACGACCCTGGGACGCTCAGGAAACCTCATCAGCTGCAACACACAACAACTGGTCAAATGCATCCCCACTTCGACCCGGCATATGAGGGGGAAGCATCAGGGAAACGCTGGGAAGTCTGAACATGGGCAAGTTAGGGCCGGGCTGAAATGTGCGTTTGGGCATTGACTCATGTGGCTTTGTATGACACACTACATGTTCCATGGCCCACTAGTAAGCTCTCACAAGACCACAAACCTCTTACGAGTCCGCTTTATCAATGGACTACCGAGATACGGCACCGGAGTCCTTCGCTATTTTTGGGCTAACTCAAGATGAGGAGACCCGAAGGCACCCTGTTTGCTTCGTATGGGCAAAAATGTTCCCAGTGCTTCGGGGATTCCCTTGTTTTGCAATACATCCACACAGGGGGTTGCACTCAGGGAACCCACCCACACAGAACATTACGCAATTGACGTGACCTCTCCACATTCCTCCAGAAGATTCAGCCAAGCTGGACAAACATCGAACATACTTAATTAACATTCAAATCGATGTGCAGGTTCTTGAAGTTCTAAGACAAGCAAAGTCTGTCTTAATGTTATTCTATACTTCAGCGTAGTCGGCTACACATGCTCAGGCTTTTTGTTTTCCTACCATCACTTGGCTTCGTCCCATGCCATTCGGCACTGGGATTGGTCAGGCCCTAGATCGTGAAACATCCGGCGGAGCGGCGGTCAGCTCCTGCGGCAAGCAACGGAAGGCTGTGGAGAAGGCAGCGATGGTCAACCGATGACGCAAACAGAATATCCAATGAGCCCATATATGGATATTTATATATATGTATATTTATTTCTTTTTTGGGGGGGTGTTGCCCCATACCATGAACGAAGACAAGAACGCATCACCAGCACACCGACATGCTGGCCCTCCGAACTCTTACAAACAGCATCAAACAGCTGCCTGATCAAAAAAGCCCTGAGCAAAATTAGTAAAGTAGTGAAGACTCACACAAAGCTGCACTATATAACCATCAAAATCAAACTCCTGGAAAGTGCTTGGCAAAACACAAGAATGTGAAACCAACCAAGAAGAACAACCATGGACCAGCTAACCCAAACACCTCTTCTTACCCGAACACCTCTCGGGTGCGTGTTATATCATCTTTAAGACTCGAAGTTGGTCTTTAGGAGTCGAAGCCGAAGTAGAATCGCTCGTTGTGCGTTCCAAACACCGTTCTTAGTGGATCGGACCGGAGTGGGACCGGAGTGGGACGATGAGTTTGAGCACTTTGGTGTGGGAAAGCTGCGTTCTTCCCTTGAGAATCATAAGGTGCAACAACTGGCAATGAATGTGCAGTTCCTACGAATGGACAGGATAGCAAACTGCTGCGAATTCAGATTCCAAGCCCATTCAGATTGCGACGATCTGTGCGCCTTAGCCGGTGAGCACTTTGCTGAGTGGTTGCATGGCTTCAGCCACGGTGACCTGTAAGTATCCTCAGTAAGCTTGGCATCGCGTGGGGTCTGGCAGGCCATGGCAGCGGGGCGTGGCAATCAGCAAGCTCTTATTTCCAATGTGGTTGAGGATGAAGGGGGGAGTTCCCCTGCCTTTACGCTGGCCCGAGCATCACGGCACATGACATGACAGGGATTGGTTGTGAAAGATCAGCCAACGTGGGGGGTTGGGAATTGATCCACCACGCTCCACGAGAACCTATCAGAACAAAGCTGGCTGGTACAATAAGACCCCCTTGAAATCGATCTCAAAACAAAGATTCTTCACTCAGCATCACTCAGCTCAACCAAACGCCCTTGAGGTTACTTTCATTCAGGAAGCCTCAAACAACAATCTGTCCTTCACCCCGCTGATCCTCGACCCTTCGGCTCCAAGCATCTAGCTAAGTTCACGAACTCGTCCACCCCCATTCGTCCTCTGCCTTCCACCAGGGTATCCTTGGAAGCGGAGGGTAGCGCACTGGGCCCAAAATTGCTCAAATACACAGCTTCCATGCGCTTCGCTGTTCTGGCACATGTGGCTCTTCAGGCCTTTTGGAGATCTTGAGCACAGTTCTCCGACAAACAGGAGTTGCATGTGCCAGAACAATTGGGCAAAGTCATTTCACTCTCGAAATGAAAGGAGGGAGTTTGGCCTCTGGCTCATTGACATTTGTCGGACCCCACACCGGACCCTGTACGTCCATTTCACATCATCCCACTTCGGTTCCAACATGAGCACACAAAAAAGCTAAACTGCCTAAGGCTGGGAATCAAGCACAGCAATCTGAGCAGCTGTCTCCTCCTTCCAAGTGGCATGCGCATCGAAGGCTAAGCGGACCTCCTCCTGTGTGGGTGAAGGGGCTTTCGTAAGGTCGGCCGCACAGCGCAAGGATTGGCAGATCAGCAGCTTCGCTTCATCGAAGCTTACCTGCATGGAGTTCGGGAGCTAAGTTGGCGACCCTTCGAGATGGTTTCGCACCCAAGAAAGATATGGGGGATCTTCAGACCCAAATGCTCAACTATTGCAAGGACCTTTGTCACTCAATGACGAACATGAACGAGTCGGCAAACGGCGAAGAAAAGGCTCGGGGGTTGAGGCAGTGTTCGACCGCAAAGGACTTGCTGAATGGGAGATTCCCATCAGTGGCCGAGGAGCTCTACCGTCTTTGTCCTGATCGACCTGCACAAACATCTTTGTCCTCACCGCACAAATGGGGTCAAGCTTGTTTATTCTGCTGGCTTGTTTACCTTTAAAAACTCCCGGACTTCATCGAGTGCTTCCCCAAACACGTGCTCGCTCTCAGTCTCAGCAAGACATCTCCATTAAGGAATGCGGTTCTGATGTCCCCAACAACAGCCTCCCATTTGCTAAGAATGGCAAGACTCAGGAGTAAGTCAAGGTGGCCACCAATGAGCTCAGAAAATCATCAGCAAAACATACTGGCCGGCCAATGGCCAACTGAATGAGATATTCCAAATGCCATCACACCGACCAAAGGATCCAAACGACACTCACGAAAGGTTCCTAAAGAACTCTGCATCAAGCTTAGGCACTCTGGTCACTTCTTAATAGAAGTAGAAGTTCCAGAGAAATGGCCTGACTCCAACACGGAAAACTCGACTTGTGGACCCGGTCCTGACATGATCGATGTATTCCTGAGACTTCAACCTGTTCTCCACTTCATCCCAATAGTTCTTGACACGCTCTTCTGGCCAGGTCCTACAGCGAAAAATAGTGCGTTCTCTTTTCACGTTCGTGTTTTGAACGAAAACAAATGGACATCATCCTCAAAATGATGTAGATAAGCCAAGTCAAGTGCAGTGGTCCTGTTGAGTATCAGTCAATCCATGTCAATCCCATACTGAATCGTGACATGTGAATCAAAAGCAAATCACTTTCCCCCGGAGTTTTGTGAGGGCCCGCTGGTTTCGTGGCGGGTCTGCTACACAAATAAATCCAAAGGTCCTGGAAGCCTTCAACCGAGCTTTCTTGATGGCGTCCTAGGCTGCAAGGAGTCGGACAACCCCCACAGAGGCAGCGCTGACACCGGAACATGATGATTTGATTTGACCGTAATAAGACACAAGGAAGGTTCGGACAATCATTTCCCAAACAACTTTTCAGCTTCCATGTTCATCTTCATGGGCATATCCTCATCAAAAAGAAGCAAGGCCTGAAAGCTCTTTGGAAACACTGTGGAAGGAGTCTACCGTTGACTCGTGGAGCCAGATGTGCCAGACTGAAGCACCACCAAAACAACATCTTGAAACCTAATGGGAATGGCCTCCGACCTGGAAGCGATGGCCTCCAACCTACTAGAAACTATTCCGCTAAGCTATTCTCACCCTCTGAGGTTCTCTCTGAGGTCCATGAACGCTGTCGGTAAAGGATTAGACTCGGCTTCTAGTTACAATCAGATAGTACTTGTACATGTGTGTATATATAATATAATATAATATAATATAATATAATATAATGTAATATAATATAATATAATATAATATAATATATATATATAACATGGAAAGAATACAACCACACTGGAGGACTATTTAGCATCGATGAACCCTTCTTAGATCTTTTAAGTGACTGATTGGAGGGATCTATTTTGACACAAACACTTGGCCAAAAAAAGGGCAGGTGACACGCAATTGAGCTCATTCCGCGTGACATCTGCGAAGCAAACGCCGAGATTGTGAGAGCCAGTCAAGGTGGCAGAATGGTAAGGTGGTCTTGCTTCAAGAATACATTGCATTTGCATATGCCCTCAGTTTTCTCCCCTCTTCCCCCAAGATCCACCAGTGATACGGGCAAGAAACTTCCCACAAACCACGCGCACGGGCATCTTCATCCTCAGACCAAAGGTACGTGATGAATTCCTGGCCACGATCGGCGAATGGTGTCTGACAGTACCGTCGTAGAGTTGTGGAGTGGAGGGACATAGGGAGCATCTGAACAGCTATTGCTCCAAGTTGATTCTTCTGTAACAAACCCATGAGGTTTATATAAAAAGCTTGTGCTCCTGCGATAAGTTGCTTCAGCACATGCCACTATGATGAAACCTAGTTTTTCCATGTTGAAAGTGGAGAACGACTGACCTTCATACGACAAACTCATCGTCCATCTTTGGAACACCAGCTTTTCTAAGACAAAGCACTACCGGGCCATTGGAAGTTGACTTAATGTGAAGGTACCGTGAGAGAGCTGGTTATTGGCACGAAGTGGCATGAGCCAATCATACCGAAGTAAGAAGCTACTAGGGGCTCCTGGCCATACTACTAGGAGCAAGGACGCTACTGGGGGCTCCTGGCATCGTTACTAGGAGCATTCTACTAGTAACAAGAAGCTATTTGCTTATTGTTTCTAATAGCTTCTTGTTACTACTAGTAAGGCACCTGTTACTACTAGCGTGGCACTTGTTTCTACTAGTAACCAGAAGTGTCCATCCTTCGATCTTTGGCACCCGAAGAGTCGAATCCAGGAGAGTCCATCTGCGAGAGTCCCTACGAAAAGCGGTGGAAGAAACGGCCACATCCAGTGGTCGCTCGAGTTTCATGGCCAAAGGTGAACCAACATGACACCCTCACATCTGCATACATCTGCATATTCAGAAGACTTTTAGGAATTACAATTCTAATTAAATTCTTATTGTTAGTAGTAAGGCACTTGTTACATCTTGTTACTAGAAGCGATGCACTTGTTCCTAGTAGCGAACATGGTTTCTAATTGAAATTGATGGCACTTGAAGATCCTGGTCCTGAAGCATCCGAAACGTCCCCTGCAAAGCCACCCCATCCGCAACACGCCTGGTACTTCACCAGCCCGGGCGCATCGGCGCCGGCCGCCACAAAGAGCACCTCCAAGTCCTTGGGAAAAACATAAGATCTTCCAACCCAATAGCAATGGCCTCCAACCCTAAGAGCGATGGCCTCCAGCCTCTTTCGATTATCTTTGGATGGATTTGGAGATCTTCAACTCAGAAGCGCTGAGCAAACACCGATTCGTCATCCTCAATTAACCTCAAGACGAAGCTCGGTGCGATCACCCCATGCGACAAAAAGACCCAAGGATCAGAGATTGTGAAGAACCCGAACCCTGAGTACTTGAATCGGATTTTAACTGGATGCCCCTGCAAGGAGCAAGCCTGGGCCTAACGCTGGGACAAATCACGTACATGTTTTTATTACATCGTGAAGAGTCTGAAGAGTCTGAGGCATGTGGACAATACACCTCCACGTTATAAGTTATAACAATGAAACCGTGTTCCGAGAACTGCTCCTGTCCTATGGAACAGTTCCAGAAGAGCTTTTTTCAAATAGCACTGACCCCATGAAGCTAAACATTACACAAATTCAAGCGATTGATGCTGCAAACGTAAACACAGGCAGCGAGAATGAATCCAAAGGCGGTATTAAATTGTATTAAGATATGTATTAATATTTGTATAAATTGTTTGTCTCACACTCCTTCTGTGAACCACGTTGGGTGTCCACACCATACACTGTCCCAACTGGGTCCTTGCTTGTTCAAGAGAAAGACAGAAACACTAGAAACGCACCTACTTCTTGGTCAAAGTTTTTGAAGGGATTTCCCAATCATAGTTTTGTCTCCTTGCGCCGGTCATCATGCCCTGCTTATCTTCCCATGTGCCAAGGTTCATCTTCAGAAACTTGTGGAGCCAGTTTCCGAAGGAGATGAATCAAGCCCCTCTTGGTGATCGTGCCATCCCCCTGTGTGTCCCAGCTCTTGAAAGCTTCCCGCACACGATCAGACAAAAGGGCCATGGCGGACAAGACACGCGGGCGAGGTCAGGCAGCTTTGATTTAAACAATGTGGGCTGCCCTGCAAGTCTCAGAATGAGGTTGGGATCGGATGGTTGATGATGGTTATGGTCTATCATTTACTGTAGTTGACTTGGATTCCAGGGGCATTGACTCTTGACACTCCCATCAACAAATTCATGTTCCCTCTGTTCGATTTTCACGCAGATCCAAATCTTTTTTAAAGATTATCAACAAACTGCCCAATCTGACCAAATTGCCATGTCTGAAAGAAATCCCCAGCTTCAAATTGATTTGTTCCGTCACTTGGAGTGCTCCCACCCTTCGATCCCACGGATCCCGCGGGCTCCGTCTGATCCTCGAGTTGGTCTGTACGAGCGACACAGAGTATGGACTGGTCTTGGTGTAGTAAACCAAACCAATTGGAAAATAAATTCCGGAATGTCTCCACATATGGTTTTAATATGTTCAAGGATAGGTGAAAGGTCACACACAACTCAAACACTTCCACTTCCGCCCATTGGACCAGCAAAGTCTGTCCGCCCGAGTAGCCGTGGATGAAACTTTAGGTCAAGTGGGCCGCAGTAGAGCACCAGCACCTGCGCCGCTCCGTGGTTCTAAAGGCATTGTCCGGCTAGGTGGGCAACGAAAACAATCAAGGAAATTTGATCACAGGAAACCCTTCCTCCGGTTGTGGACCTGGCTGGCGGCCAGCAATGAAAATGAATTGTCAGGACCTAAAATGTAATTGTGCAACTCCAGCCTGTTGGCAGCGAAAAAAACGTTCTGATTCTGCTTTGCTCAACACCAACTTTATCTTACTCTATAAGGAAAGGCTTCACATTGTTAGATGATGCTGGATGCTTGAGGAGTGTCTCCGGAAACCACTGCATTCCCAAAACGCGGGACTCCAAATGCGGAACCCGCCTGCCTTCTCTAGACCAGGTGTGTCCTCCACATCGATCCGTGGAAAGTCCTCCGCGTCTTCGAGGGGAAATGTGACTTCTGTGGCAAGGGTGACAAAAATGCTAAGTTATAAATAATAGGTGTGCAAGCGACGGGCGATAAAGATTAGTTTTGCATGATGGAATTGCATGAAGATGCTGTGTATGAAGGGACCTTCAGGTACCATTTCGCAATTATAAGAAAACACACATTATTAATACATTCACCTGCAAGAAAAAACATAATTAGCACAATTCAGTTTAATACTCAGAAGGCCCCGGAGAATGTTAACCTCCCAGTAATAAACCATGAAACAATAATAAGTGTTCTTTTGTTTGCCAGGATTTTGCAATACTTCCTTTAATTTCGCCAACATCCAGACCCCAAAATGGGTAAAAATAATCAGGTTTCAATTGTAAGCCTGAGAAATTAGCGATCAATTTGTTGGCCTGCCAGAATGTTACAATACTACTTATAATTGCGCCAACAGAATGCTCTCAGATGTTTGTATTTTTTGTTTATCCTTCTTCTTCGTTCTTTTTTGTTATCTTTCTCCTTTCTTCGTTCTTCTTCTTCCTGTTTTTTTCTTCTTTTGTGTGTTCTTTTTATCGTCGACCACCAGATTTCCAAAACTTTGGCTAGCCAAAAGCTTGAGCTTCCCTCATTCAAGCCCTATCAAACAAATACAAATAGTTATGTTCAAAGGGTACCCCTTTAGAGTCACACCCCGTGCAATTTTGCGAAGTTTAAACTAACCTACAACAATCAACCCCACTCCAGCCCGGCTGGCTTATCCTTGCCTTGCGCTTTCCCTTTTACTTTTAAGTTCTCCTATCTTCTTCTTTTTTCTTTTTCTTCTTTTGTGAAACCTTTGTTTTAATCTGCGCCCATCAGATTTCCAGAAACTACCACTACCACTACCACTACTACTACTACTACCACCACTACTACTACTACTCCTACTACTACTATCCCCTCAGCCAAGTCCCCTCTGGATGTTTTCTATTAAGGCTCAGGATTTTGACTATATACCCTGAAAATGTTTATTTATTGCATGGGGAGGTTTACTAATGAGATGTTAACATGAATGAGGAAGTATATTTACTTTCTTCATTTGACTCTGACTCATGCCAGATTCCAGATGCTCACGTGTGTTAAAAAATGGCATCGGCGCGCGCAGTACTCACCTCGGCGTCGTCCAAGTTTGGACCGCGCGATGATATTCACAAGCGCAAGATGCGCCACACGCTGAGCTGGCGCACGAGGAGGCTCCAGTGGTACGGCCCTGGTCCGCCTACGTCTGGATCAAGGCCCGGATACCAGGCGCGGCGCCCGCGCTCCTGGGCAAGCTAAACGAACAAAAACGGCGGCGTTGGATTCTACCTGGCACGTTAGCCCCTGGTTTGCGCAGCTCTCGCATAAAGATAGTCTCTCTCTCTCTCTCTCTCTCCCTCCCTCCCCCTTTCATACTGTGCAAACTCTCTCTCACCCTCTCTCTCTTCCCTATCTCCCCTTCTTTCTCTTCCCTGCGTGGCAAGTAACAGTAGCGTCTCCAAGGCTGCGCAAATGATGCGGGACTTGGCCCCGGAGACAGCTTGGAAACTCCAACAAAATGCTGCGCGCGACAGGGAGTTGACATTTTGCACGCAACCTGTCCTACCAAGCTGAACCTGGAGTAAGCCGCTTGTCATCCAATCTTGCTAGCTCATGACAAGCTCCAATTTTGCAGCGCCACGTCCTCAACACACTCCGTCCAGTGGCAAGCTCGTGACATCCTACGCAAAAAGTGAATGAAGGCTTCTCAGCAAGACCCAATCTGTCCTAGCCATGACAACTTACTTATTATGCACGCTTTCCAGCGCGCAAACAGAGCTTTTTCTATACGAGCGCCGGGCCGGAGCAAGCCCACATCCCTACACACCGCTCAGTAGTGGTAAGAGCCGTGGACGGCATTCTTAATGACCTAGCCCTCTCCACTTCAACGTTGCTGCGCCCATACTCACGCAGACCCCCCGCAAGGCCCAGGTTTTCATCACGCGAACGGCGCCGGTGTGTTGGTCTATCGCCTGGGTAGCCAGGTTTGATATTAATGTATTTATGTGTGTTCTAAGCGAGTATTCACGTCTTTTTTGAAGCGCATGGGCCCATATATGCCATAGGCCTTGTAGGTGCGGAGCACCAGATCTGCTGGGAGGTTAAGAATTTACCTTGGCCGTGCGTAACGCCAGTGAACGGAGGTCTTACTTGTTGGGTAACGAAATGCGTATGGAAAGAGTTAAGATCTTCATACGTCAGCTGGAACATTGACCAGCCAACTTGCGCAGACGCAATGAGCCGATGAATCAGCCCAGGGCCACCATAAACAAGCCAGGTTGGCCCTTAGTAAATACACGCATGGCCCACCGCGCCGGCTGGGCAGCTGAGATGCGCAGACTTCGGCGCAATGCCCGCCGTAAACAGGCCAGGCCCGCCCGAGACTACACTCGTGGATTCGCAAGCCAATGACGTACAGTTTCACATTTCTGTTGCGACCAAGACCGAAAACTTCAAGACTCTTGAGCTCAAGCAGGCCCACCACCAAACAAGCCAGCCCCACCAATAGTAAACATGCCAGGCTGCCAGGCTCACGTGCAAAAACATGCGCAGACCAAGCAATGACTTGACTTCCGCCCACAACTCTGACCACAACACATGCCCCTTTGCAGGCTTTCATGAAGCAAGAATATACTAGGTAGTAATTATCAACGATCTCAGAAAGTTTCAGGCTTTCAGGCGTGAATTGGGCCAGGCGCATCCATGGTAAACATGCCGGGTCCACACGGAAACATGCGCAGACAAAGCAATGATTTGACTTTTGATCGAGAATGTCACTCAGCCTTCCTCAAGACGCCCATAAAGCTTTTAAGGATTGCCTCATGGTGGAAGCGGGCCTTTGGCTTGCAAACCAGCGCCTTCTGAAGACAGGGGAAGCTTTCTTGTGAAGACTGCAAGCGATGAGGCGCTCCCTTACATTTACATCTTTTCAACATGCCCAAGAGCTCAGCATGTTGCTCTTGCAAGCCCACGAATTGATAGTAACAAACGTTGTCAAGTCTTGAGAGTTTGCACTCGGGTATACCTTGATCCCAAGAACGCCAATCAGCCCACAGAATTGGTTAGTTTACAATTTTAGTGGTGGACAGTCTTGAGCCACACCAATATGTTCAGGGCAAAAGCAATCATTCTTAACAAATACAGGACTACCAAAAGAAGTCTCTGCCGCAAAGGACACACGCGTGCTCCCTGATAGCCGTCCCTCCCACTCAGGCAGATAGGTGTTTTGAGATGCTCTGGGCATACATCCAAGAATTTCCGCCCTCGCTCCCTTAAGGATGGATTGGCAGTTGTCGTCCATCTGAAGAATCAAATTGGTCATTGCAGGTTGTGGTCGTCGTCGTCGTCGCCGTCGTCGCCGTTGCCGCGGTTGTTGTTGTTGTTGTTGTTGCTGGTGTTGTTGTTGTTGTTGTTGTTTCGGATAGAGGCCTGTTTGCAGCTTATATAACCGCTTATGCGCTGGGTTGATGCTTAGAGGCTGGCTTGTCATGCTTTGGTGCACTCTTTGGCGCTTAATCAAGCGCTTATATATGCGCTTTGGGGGTGGTTACAGGCTTTTATATAGGCTTGTGTGGCGCTAGAGGTTTGTAGGCTGCCTGTAGTTTTATCACAGCCCCTACTTAGCCGAACGCCCCGATGAGCACCACCGATCAAACAACCGGCCTTAACTGCTACCATAAGAATTAACCCCTTGTCTGACCACACTGTTTGGGGAAAAACACAACAATTGATTGATAGACGATCCAAGCAGCGAAGAATAGATTTATCATGACTTATATACGTATCCCTTGTGGACAAACCACTTAGGGACTTAGCGGCCGACCGTCCATGGTTTTCCCCCCTTCGGCGGGTCCGAGTCGACCCATCTCCTTCGTCTCCTGCGCCCAGAAGACTCGATGGTTCCAAAGCTCCACGGACGTCGAGAAGCTGGTGGTCGGACCTGGCAGCAGCTCGATGCCTCAGAAGTGAAGCTGAACAAAAGGTGGCAGGGGGATGCTTGTGGCTTGCAAATGTTTTGAAGGAAGAGGTCCAACATCACTGCACAAATACGTTACACATGCTTTTGGGACCTCAATGTGGTCCTTCGGCTGTGAAACCTCTGGCAACTGAGGGTAAGCATGGTGGGGGTGGTCAGTGGTAGTGGCAAAGGATGGTGGTGTAAAACCCCTTCAAAAAGACAGACGTCCACATTCATGATCAAATGACGGGTGTTCACTCGTTCACTCTCACGAAACCGTCTGAGTTTGTGAAAGGCTGGCCCTAATTCTCTCGTCTAAGTTAAAAGTGTGTGTATGCGATTTGAGAAACACTGCGGATTCTGTTACGTACATGCTTTGGGAAATGCTACAATGGCAAAGCGCAGCCCATAGAATACGTCATCAGACTGAGGCTTACAAGACTAGGACCCAAGGTGTATCTCATTTTAGGCACCTTCCAGGGAAAACACTGGTGACAAAAGAAACCACTCCCTCGCCCCGCGCTCCTCTAGTGTCTTGTGGTGCCCGACAGGCCCATTGTCGAGGCCCACAAATCTCTGCAACTCCACCGTCTCTCAAGGAGCAGCTCACACTGTCAGACCTGAGCAGAGACTACGGAGGCGGCGAGATGGGCATCGCATGGCTAGCCTCGCGCTGAAGGCGGGAAAGCAGTTGGAAGAACTGATAGGGCAAAGTGGTTGCCCAATATGCCCACCCATGCCGCAGAATATGTCAGTCAGTTGGAATTACCCTTCTCAGGTCACTGTGATGGACGCTGATCATTAATCTAGCAGGACCCACAAGAGGTTGTTGATGGACACCCAGATGAACATCTTCGCACCCAGCCGCTGAGGGATGGTTAACCAACCACCAGGGTCCATGCGCTGCCTCAAAGCTTTTGCAGAAGTCTTGGAGGTCCTTAAGGCCTGAGCAGGGCAAACGATCGTCTTGACCTCAAAAAGGTACGCCAGAAGCATAGCCTTGCGTAGCACAGCCTTGTCCATTGTCCATGTGCAAAAGGTCTCAAGATGTCTGTCAACCGTATGTCTCTGTTTCACCCTCTACAGCCTATCTTCACTGTAAACCCATCCCCGGGCTTTCAGGCCGGGCGGCGGCAATAGACTCTGACTCGGATACCCCAACGCCTGGCCTCTCTGCCGGAAGCGGCCATGGATCCGAGGTCCTGTGTTCGAAGGAGGGAACGAACGAAAACAAAAAAGAAGACATGGTAACCAAATCGTTATGTCACAAATAAGACATGTTACTATATACTCTATAAACATATCATTCAACGATTTGTCCTTGTGGGCGGGTGTACCTCTGGGGGACAAGCCTGTTCGTTGAGGAAAATTGCAACATCTCTACACATCTAAGGCTGCTAGGAGCAAAGGGCATCGCTACTAGGAGCAAGGACGCTACTAGGGGCTCCTGGCCTTACTGCTAGGAGCAAAGAAGCTACTAGAAGCACCAGAACTGTTCGCCTCACTCAATCCTGCACACCAATGCAGCACAGGGATCGTCCGAATGAACCGCCGGCCGAAACCAGAACAAACCACTACAGTCTACAGTAACTAACCTACAAATCTGGACAGTGTGGGTAGTCTTGTGAATGGATTGTCCCCACCTGGCAAATTCAAGGTGCTCCTCTCTGGCAAGGGCACACCCACCTCGTTGGTATATCGATTGATGATTTCTCAAGAAGTATTGGTGGCACCAGGCTGAAAGTAGAGTTACGTTATATATTTATGTTGTGTGCTGTTGAAAGACAACAATAGATTAAACCACATCATTTTTGGAAGGGCTCAAGCAAGATGAAGTGCACTCTATATTCGCCAGCGACTGCAAATAACATGAAATTAACTAGTGTGCTTCTTCTCATAGTCATACCCGACAACCCCAATGATGGAAAACATGGTGTTAGAATTCATCAAGGATAACAGCAACGGACCACCTGTGTTAGTTGAATACGATCATGAGTATATTTGTCGGCAATTGCAAACATTTCCAAACAAGGAAACCAAGGAGAATTTCTTCTGCCCTTGGATCCACAGTACCCAGATTCCAGTGTTTCGAAAAGCCCTGTGCCATGGATTTGCGATCTCTGGTTCCTAATGGATCCTGATTCGCTTGGGGTTCGTGACGATCACCATCCACCAGAGGCTCAATCTAGGGCTGCGGCGGCTGCCTCCACAGAGAGGTCCTTCAGCGGTAAGGCCTGGTGAAAGGATGCAGGCCGAACAAAATGAGACCTAGAATGTGACAAGAGATGACAATTGTGGTATCACTTGTTCTTCACCAAACCATAACTAGATCGAGTAGAAAACGTTGCAATCAGCCTCAAACGCACAAAACAACCATCAACGTCCGCCTGATTCAAATCATGTATACCAAGTTGGCATAGATCAAGGTAGGATTATGTGGGATTACAGTATCCCTAAAAAAGTCCCCACTCAGGATGGGGTCGCCATCCGACATACCTCAGTTTCGAGGAAACAATTGTGTCTTTCCACTCTATAGATTCTATGACTCTATTGCGCTTCTATCCAGTGAGTCAAAATCAAAATTCTCAAACCATCCCAGCACAAACGAAAATAACAAATAGAAAATCGATTGATTTTCACTCACATGGTGTTGAACCAAAGTCAGACTAATGACCCGAAGCATGTGAGGCTCATGTGCGTGATGACACTATATTGACAATAGACTTTGAGGTTCAGGTTAACACAACAAAACAAACTGATTTTGTGAGGCGTTCAGACATGTTCAGACGCAGACGCAGACTTCGTATGATGCTTCCTTCGGCGGAAAACTGATTCAACGTGCCTTCATGACTTCCTCCAAGTCTGCAGCTGCACAGGGCGAGACGGTCCGCGCGCCACGGAGACTCCTGCTGGCCTCGTCGGTGGACGTCTCCGCAACTAGTCAAAGCCAGAGTTGGGTAAAGCGAGAACACGGGAATGCTAGAGTCATGACATGGGATGACATGGACAAGTTCCACTATATAAACCACTTGACTGCCTTAGGAATATAGACCCGTATGGTGGTCATCTTACATCATATTATCCGCCGACCCCGCCGTTGCGAGGGGGAGCGCGCCAGGGATTACGGGTAGCTGTTTGGGGGCTTGGGGGTAGAGGGATCGAAAGTGCGACCATAAGAGGCTCGTTTTGGACCAGAATTAGATGGGGAAAAGCCGTGGCGGCGCCAGGTGTTCGGGGCCAGGATGGGCGCAAGAAAGGAAAGAACAGTCTTTTTTCTAATAGGGATTCAGAGGGGGCGTTAGGGAGCGAAAGTGCGACCATGAGAGGCTCGTTTTGGACCAGAATTAGATGGGGAAACGTCGTGGCGGCGGCAGGTGTTCGGGGCCAGGATGCGCGAGAAACATGGAAGAAAACGTCTTTTTTTCTAGGGATTCAGAGGCAGCGTTTGGGAGCGAAAGTGCAACCAGGGGAGGCTTGTTTTGGACCAGAATTAGATGGGGAAAAGCTGTGGCGGCACCAGGTGTTCGGGGCCAGGATGCGCGAGAAAAATGGAAGACAAGAAAACTTCATTTTTTCTCAGGGATTCAGAGGCAGCGTTTGGGAGCGAAAGTGTCCAGGGGAGGCTCGTTTTGGACCAGAATTAGCTGGGGAAAAGCTGTGGCGGCGCCACATGTTCGGGGCCAGGATGCGCGATAAAAATGGAAGAAAACGTCTTTTTTTCTAGGGACTCAGAGGCAGCGTTTGGGAGCGAAAGTGCAACCAGGGGAGGCTCGTTTTGGGCCAGAATTAGATGGGGAAAAGCTGTGGCGGCACCAGGTGTTCGGGGCCAGGATGCGCGAGAAAAATTGAAGAAAACTTTTTTTTTCTAGGGATTCAGAGGCAGCGTTTGGGAGCGAAAGTGCAACCAGGGGAGGCTCGTTTTGGACCAGAATTAGATGGGGAAAAGCTGTGGCGGCACCAGGTGTTCGGGGCCAGGATGCGCGAGAAAAATGGAAGAAAAGAAAACTTCTTTTTTTCTCAGGGATTCAGATGCAGCGTTTGGGAGCGAAAGTGTCCAGGGGAGGCTCGTTTTGGACCAGAATCCGCCGACCCCGGTCGAAGAAGGTGGAGCGCGCAAGGGAGTACGGTCACTTAGGGGTCAGACACATGCTGCAGGTATGAGAGAAGTCCGCCCCCTCAAACCCTCCCCGGCAGCGCCTCGGGAGGCTCGTAGCGATGCACTTGTTCCTAATAGCTTCTTGTTACTACTAGTAAGTGCAACTAGGGGAAGCTCGTTTTCGACCAGAATTAGATTGGGAAAAGCCGTGGCGGGGTCAGGTCTTCGGGGCCAAGATGAGCGAGACCAATGGAAAACGTGTTCGGGGCTAAGATTGGCGCAAGAAATGAGAGAACAGTTTTTTTTCTAGGGATTCAGAGGGAGCGTTTGGCGTGGAAAGTGCAACCAGAGGAGGCTTGTTTTGGAGCAGAATTAGATTGGGTAAAGCCGTGGTGGGGTCAGGTGTTCGGAGCCAAGATGAGAGAGACCAATGGAAACAAACTGGATGCGCGAGAAAAATGGAAGAAAACGGTTGGCGGCACGTGTTCGGGGCTAAGATTGGCGCAAGAAATGAAAGACCATTTTTTTTCTAGGGATTCAGAGGGAGCGTTTGGCATGGAAAGTGCAACCAGGGGAGGCTCGTTTTGGAGCAGAATTAGATTGGGTAAAGCCGTGGCGGG